GGGGGAGGGGTCGTCGTGGCGGGGGTGGGCGAGCCCCCCCCCATCGCGCCTCTCCCGGCATGGGGCCCCCCGCCCCTCCCTGCCGTGGCGCGCCCCCCCTCGGGGGTGCGACAGGCCCCCCCTCATGTTTCCCGTCACGGGGCCCCTGGCCCCGCCCCACCTCGCCTGGCTCGCGGTGGTGAGGGGCCTCGCGGTCTCTCGACATGGCTGGGAGGTCGAGGGGAGGCCTCCTCGGCCGACATCCCCCTCCGCACCAGCACCAGCATGTCGGCCTTCGTCGGCATGCTCTTCCAGGATGGCTTCACCTAGTCCGCCCAGAGCGCTTGGGCGCCCTACGCGGAGCCCTCGCTGCGCGCCTTCAAGAGCGAGCTGGGCGCGCAGGCGCCAACTGGCCCCTTGGACCCCTGGGGCTACGCGAGCGATGGCAGCGCAGAGATACCCCAGCGCCGCCGCCCCGCAGGGATCCAGCACGGGCAGGTTTCTACGCACGTGACCACGGGCTACATCTTCCTGGAGTGCGTCAGGCCCCCGGGCCAGCTGGGCTTCTCGGATGACTCCGGGTTCGCCAAGGTGCCCAAGGGCCTCGCCGCGCTCTCAGAGGCGCCATCGGCCGGCTGGCTGCAGATCTTCCTCGCCATCGGCTTGGAGAAGCCTGGCAAGCCAGGCAACTTCGGCATGGACATCTTCGGCGTCTGAGGCGGGGTCGCCGATTCCGCCAAAAGGACCCGTGGCCTGAACTCCGAAATCGCCACGGGCGCTCGGCCATGATGGCGATCATCGGCATGTCCTACCAGGGCGGCCCCACCAGACCAGCACGGACCGCTTGGGACCTCCAAGCGCTCTCATCGCGGCTCACCTCCGGGAACGAGCTCGGCGCGAAGGCCCTTGCCGGCATCAGTACGTTCTTCAACTACCCACGGTGCCTGGTGTGAGTCCGGGTAGCGAATCTCAAAGCAACATCGAGCATAACGCAATCGAATAAGTCGTCCTCCTAGTCAACTACAGTCATTCCTCTTGCGACTACGCCACCAAATTCATCATCAACTCATTATGATCGAATGGTGGGGACCTTCCAGGGGGCCATCTCATCAACGGCCGATTCGCGGCATACCAAGCACCCCCTTGAAGCCAAGCAGCGTAACCTGGCCTCCCACGGTCCGCACATCATGTGCAATCAGTCTTCCAAGACACCGCGCGGGCGGTCTCGGGCTTATGTTCGTCACAATTGGCGCCCCAGTCGTGCAGATTCTTTCGACGGGTCGCTGCACTTCGCTACTCTTAACACCCAATCATTATGCTTGCACAGACTGCACGCACGGGGAAAGCTGCAATTGCTCATGAGCCTCGCCCGGCAGCAGAAGATCGACGTCTTCATGCCGAGCGACTTGCATGCCGAGGGGTGATCGAAGAACTCACATTGATTCTTGGACACAGCACCGGCATCCAACTGATCCACCAAGTCCGGCGGCGCTGGCAGGAGGGTGGCTCGCGGCATCGGCTTGAAGGCGAACGTACTTTTTCCGTATCTCTTCCCGTTCAAAGACGCACGTACATATTCGCTTCTGTCTACATCCCCACGAGCGCGTCGGTCTCGGTCAAGAAGGCCGCTTTCAAGGAGGCCACGACACTGCGTCAACGATCTCTGGGTGACCTGGGCGCACCACCGACGAGCCCTCCGGACTCCATCGTCGAGATCTGGGAGGGCGACCGGACTGGTCGCGTTGCAGCTGGCCAGTCAGGTCTCCCCGATTTGGCCAGCACGCACGACCAGGGCACCCCATCCACGCTCGGCGACCAGATCCAGAGGGCATGGCAATGTGGACAGCATCCTGATTGTGCAGACAACTTGCGCACAGTGGCCCATCGCGGAATTTGGCGGAACCCGTTCCATGGACACTGGCACGAGCTCGGCTACTTCTTGTGCTCCCCGGGCATTCTCTGACAACACACGCTCTGGCTAATTCTGTCTCTGACCACATTGGTAAACGCGCTTGGCTTCACGAGTCCACCAAGCCTGGGGGGCACGCGAAGAAGGAGACCCGGAAACAATATTTCGACCATGCTGGCCGCGAAGCCCCTCGAGGCCGGCTCAACCTGGCCCAACTCCAGGGGCATAGGCCCGGCGGAGAGCCAAACCAGGCAACAGCTCAGCCAGAACCTGCGGGACCCAGCTTCCGACCACAGCTGCGACGACGACGCCGTGCCCGACCCCGCGGCAGTTGGAGCGTCTTCCCCGACGTCCAAAGCATACCTCGAGGAGCACCAAGAGCTCAGCACGGACGGCTCTGGCCAGGACGTCGCCGGCTCTACCTCGAAGCGCGCGGGCTGGGGTTTCTACGCTTCCTACCATGGCCACCAGCTGGTCTGCAACGCGCCGGCTCTATTTGACTCCGCGGATGCACGGTAGCTTGGAACCACACGGGCGACCGTCGGCAATGGGGCGACAAGCGCCATGCTCCACGCACTCCGCTGGCTCCAAGACACTGGCCCACACGGCGCGTCCGCGGTCTTAGTGCATTACGATTCCGAGTATGCTGCCCAGGTGCTTCAGGGTTTCTGCCGATTCCGAATATGCTGCCCAGGTGCTTCAGGGCTTTGGGCGCGACCGTGCCCACCGCGGACTGGTCCGGAGCACGCAACACCTGCTGCAGACTCTACGGACTCAACGCGAGATCCTCTTGCACCACGTCAAGGGCCTCAGCAACGACATCGGCAAAGACATCGTTGATCGCGCTGCCGACGCCAGTGCTAATTAGAGGCGACTGGCTGCTCTGGCCCAATGCCGCGACGTATCTGTGGCTGGCAAGGTTGCAAGGTCTCCAAATCGACGCCCCAGCAGCGGACCGGCGCAGGCGTGTCACGGGCAAAAGCTCCCGCGGCCCGCGCAACCCACACCTCTCGGAAGTCCCACAGCTCATTCAGCAGTCATTCTTGAATCCACAGCCCCTGGACACGACGTGAGCCGAACTGCAACCGCCGCTGCATCCACAATTGGCCGCAAAGACGGAACGAGGTCCACTGCCCTGACACCGAGACCGACCAGGAACACATCCAAGCACTGCACTCCACGGACTCAGCAAAACCAGGCTCGAGAAGGCGCCGCCCGCCAACGGCCTAAGAGCCCCGATGAGGCGAGGCCGTAGGCGCGCAAAATAAATGGGCCGAGCGAACGCCCAGGGCAGGCCTGGCCCCGCCCTGCCAGGCAGCAGAGGCTACGCGGGCGGGGCGGCAAGCGGGCAGCTCGCCCACCCCAGCGGTTTGAGTGAGCTCGTGCCTGGAAAACCAAAGAGCGGGTAACCACCCGCTCTCCAGGATCAAAAGCAGCGGCATCGGCGGGCTCCTTTTCTGGCGTGCGCAGGCGCACTCTCACTCACGCGCCAGCCTCCTCTGTGCCGCCGATGGCGGCTCCTCGGCCCGACCTGTAAGCAGTGTCGCTGCCTTACCCGTGAGCCTGACCGTTCCCTGCCGAGATTCAAGGTTTGTGTGTCTATGACGAGCTGCTAGTTCGGTTAGCGAAGCTATCGCCATCGCCATTTCGCCCTGAAGCGGCGGCGTTGGCGCCGAGCGTGCCTCCTTGCTTCTAGCCCAGCCAGGCATGGAGTGCCCACATGGGTGGGCGAGCTGCTCGGTAACCGCCCCCGCGATCGCGGTCTCTCGCTCTGGCAGGGCGGGTGCCTGGCCCGCCCAGGGCGTTCGCAGGTCGCGCTCGCGCCCGCCTTCGCCCGCTGGTTGCTCCCGCTCGCAACGCGCCTGCGTTCTGCAATGGGCGCCTCGCGCCCTCCTTCACTCGCACGCTCGGGTGATTCCGCACCCGCTTGCACGCTTCTGTCCACCCGGCCCGTTGGCGCGGCACTTCTTCACCCGCGGGCCGTGTTCGCGTCCCCACGGCGACGCTTCTTTTTGCGCATTTGCCGACTTTGTGCCGTGCGGGACGCGACGGCATGCCGTGGCAGCCTCGGCCTGCCGTTCGTTGGCTCGGGCTCGCGCTGGATAATATGCGTGCGCACCGCTCCTGCGGGTTCGTGGGCCACCAACCCTTCGCCCCACGCAGGGGGCCAGCCGATGGTTTGGCCAGCCAGGCCCGCGCATAATAGTAGGATACCATGGACGGCCCACACTTCGCGCCCGCTAGGCGCGCGCTTTAGGCCTCCTGCAGGCCCACCGAACCACCTGACTCGAGCCTCCCAAGGCTGTGAGGCCAAAATGGCGGAGCCTAAAACAGCCCCCCCGGTTCCACAAAACCTACCGTCTAAGACGCAGAAACTACATGAAAAAACACATGCGACAAGGTGCGGCTTAAAACATTCAGAAAGCGCCCAGTGGCAACCCAGCTGTTACAAGGAACCGCCCTCCACCCTTGTAGCTGTTCTACACATATGAAGCTTCGCGCATCAGATACCACGAAGCCTCAAGCGAGAGCCCCATGTCGAAACAGATACGCCCTCGATTCGTGTAACTACTGCACAATGGTACACGTGTGGCGAGGTGTTGGGAATGCCTCAGGCAAGACCCCCAGTTCGGAAACGAACTGGCCTCCATCCGTGTAACTGTTGGAAACCTGTACTACAAATATGCGCCGCGCTATAGCGAGAGCCACATCTCGAAAATGAACCGGTCTCCATCCGCATGACATCTGGAAACTGCGAATCGACTGCACACAGCACCAATGTGGAAACCGCATGTTTAACGTGTACCGCCCACCGTCCGTGCATCTGTCAAACAAGTGAATGCTGCAGGGTTTTTTTTGAATACACTGTGAGAAAGTATTCAGCGAAATGTCTGGCCCAGCCCACAGACACGTGCGGAAAGCATTAAGGGAAACGCCCAGCCCAGCTTACGGACATTTTCTGTGGTGCGACAGGGACGAATTATTCAGAAGGGCTGGAGATGGAGGAGAAAGATCTCCATCCCCACAACTCGCCCCCCTCCGTCCTCCGCACCATTCCTCCGCCCTGCCCCCTTCCCAACCCTGGGCACGCATTCGCGTCACCACCGCTTGCCTCAGAGATGATGTCGGGCAGCTCCAGGCACGAGACCGGGTCCTCGAGGAACGAACAGAAAGACAGATAGGCGAGAAAGCGCGAGAGAGAGAGAGACAGACAGACAGACAGACAGACAGACAGACAGACAGACAGACAGACAGACAGACAGACAGACAGACAGACAGACAGACAGAGAGAGAGACAGACAGACAGACAGACAGACAGACACACAGACAGACAGACAGACAGACAGACAGACAGACAGACAGACACACAGACAGACACACAGACAGACAGACAGACAGACAGACAGACACACACACACAGACAGGCACGCAGACACACAGACACACAAACACACAGACACACTTTTTGGTCGGCGGGGCGAGAGCGAACCTCTTCCGCTAAAAGCTAGGCGGGCTACGTGCAGCTTTTAATACAGACACACAGACACACAGACACACGGACACACCGACACACAGACACACAAACACACAGACACACAGGCACACAGACACACAGACACACACATACAGACGGGCAGACAGACAGACAAACAGACAGACAGGCAGACACATAGACAGACAGACACACAAACAGATACACTGACAGACAGACACACAGACTTGTTGCGCTGGCGGCTAGGCAGAGTGATTGCGCTGGCGGAAAGAGCATGCGGAGGACACACACATGCGAATTAGGCCGCGATGCACGTGGAGGGGAGGGAGGGGGGCCTGGCGCGGGCGGGAGGGAGGGGAGACCAGGCCCGCTCAGAGCGGCGCCAAGCCGCGGCAGGGGTAGCGCCGGGGCAGCGGGAGGGCGGCGGCCGCGGGCGGCCGAGGGCTGGCAGCCAGGAGGCGGTCGGGCCAGGCGGGGGAGGGAACAGGCCCAGCAGGAGCCGGGGGCGGGCAGCGCAACGGGGCGGCCGTGTGCCGAGGTCGGTGCAACCTCCAGGCGACCGGGCGGCAGCCAGAGAAGACCACCTCAGGAGAGGGGCGGGGGGGTCGCCGGAGAAGGACCCCAGCAAGTTGGAAAAGAAACGATGGCAGGCGGAGGCGCCGAGATCCGAAGGACCCGCGAGGCGCCCGGCGCGCGGCCGGCCGAGACATCCCAGGAGGGGCAGAAGAGGCCAGCGCGGGGCGGAGCAGCAAGGCGGGGTAAGCCCGCCGTCGAAGCCGACGTGGGGTCAGCCGGGCACCCAGAGCCGAAGGGGGCCCAGCGGAACGGGGAAGACTCGTTCCCAGGGGCGGGGGGAAGGAAGCCACGGGCGACATCCCGTCCAAAAACCTGCAGATGGCCAGCGTCCAACCTGCCAGGGCAGGGGATGCAGCGGCGGGGCAGGGGCCTCCGTCCTGGGGAGGGGACAGCGCCGAAGCGGCTGCCGCGCCAGGGACAGTAGCAAGACCAGCTCGCCAGGCCGGCGAACGCAGCACCCGCAGAGCGGTAGGGCTGGCGCCTGCTAGGTTACGCGGCGCAGCCACTGGGGGCTGGTAGGCCCGCGCGGCCCCACCAGGGCAGGAGTGGCATGGCGGCGGGCGGTCGGAGTACAGAAGGCGGGGCGGCGCCAAAGACAGCAGCAGAGGCGCCACGCGGGAGAACCTGACGCGCGAGGAGGGTAGCAATGAGTGGTGCAGGAAGGGCGGCGCAAAGGAAGGCACCGAACAGGTGCACCAAAAGTGCCGAGGTGTGGCGGGCGAACCGCGGTGGAACCACCCATCGAGGATGGTGCGGCGGGGGTAGGCGTGGAGCCGCGCCGGCGGGGATGCCGTCCACCGCAGGAGAGCAGCCCAACCCGGCGGGGGGCAGCACCGAACAGGTGCACTAGCAGAGAAAGGGCGGAGCCCAAGCGAGGACAGCTGCCGCCCAGGCGGGTAGACAGTGGGGGGCAGGCGCAGGGCCGCTCAGAGTAGGTGCACGGAGCGGCGGACAACTGCAGCCAGAAGAGCAGCGGGGGGGCCGCTACCAGAGGCGGCTGCAGAGGACCCCGACCAGCGCTGCCGGGCGGGATCGTTGCCGAACGTCGAAGTCGGCCTCGATGAGCTGGGTAACGAGATCCTGGCGAAGGGAGGCGGCTCGGGTCCCTGCTGGACCCTGTCTGCCCCATTATGTGGTCGCATATGGCATTCCAGCCAATGGTCAGTATGAGGCCACATTCCTTCTTGAGGCGATTGACCACTTCCTGCCAGTTCTCCTGGCGCTGGGCAGGGTAGTTCCATCTGGGGCGCCAGGAAATCGACTGGCACGGCTTGCTGCACAGCCTGTCATCGGGGTTCCAGTGGGGAGCGTAGTCACGAGGCAGGATTGGCGTGCGGCGGGGGGGGCCGGTCTGGCGCCAGGGGGGTACACGTTCCCTCGCTTCAATCCCGCGGCCGGGGCTCTGGGGCTGTGGTGTTCGGAGGTGCGGGGAGTCTTTCGCACGGGTTCATCGCCGTCTCCTCCAGGAGCGCCGCCGTCGGACTGCTCGGCTTGCAGTTCTGGCCCGCGCACGGGGCGTGGTCCTGGGGGTCCGCCAGCGGGG